GACTTGGTTCTATGGTAGGTCTTAAAGGGTTAAATAACGAGGCTTTTTAATCCATAACCACCTGATGCTCATCTGGGTCCAGATCGTGGTGGTGTGGGTCTACACACCCTCTTAACAGACATCACCTGCAGCTAGAGGACAGATGCTGAACCCGAGCTCCTCAGCCCGTCTCTGAGGCTAAGCCCGCTATCACGCCTCACCACTAGGCTGCACTTCCTCCACCGTCCTGAAGATGACCCCGAGATAATGAAACTCCCCTGATCCAGCTGCTTTACACTCAGCTGCGAACCTTAGTGATGAGAACCACATCGTCTGCAAAAGCAGGGACGAGATCCTGACACCACGCCCCCACGTCCACACGGTGAGAACATGTGGCTCTGAGAAGTCTAACAGCAAACTTTTTGATGCAGATCAAAGGTCAAAGCTTTCCTTTACATCACACACACATCTGTCGCTGCAGATGTTTCTACCTGCGTGCACGCATACCTCTTTGACGTGTGCGTCATCAAAGTACATCCACCGGCGGATCTTAGTCTGGAAGAAGAAAGTGGAGTAATGTTTCCCGTAGTAGCACACCATCCCGACCAGGTAGAGCTCGGACTGCCGAGCCTTCTCCTCGGTCACCCTGTAGAACAGCTGCAGAGAGGGAGGAAGATGTCACCGCACGCCACCGACGCTCGCGTATACCCTTCGCTTTGTTCAGACCGTGCTTTAACGCCGTGTCTTATTCTACTTACATCCCCGAGGCGCAGGCAGGTTCCCAGGGTGTGGATGACGTCCTCGGCCAGGTCCGAGTGATCCGAGTCCCACACCAGGCCGATGGTGATGATCTCCGGACTGTTGAGGAGGACGCGAGCCATCCGCAGCTGCTGACCGCACTGACTCTGAGGAAGAGGAGGAGGAAGAAAGGTGAGCCGTGACCTCTGAGTGCTCCACGCCAGTCAGTGTGTGTGCGTCGCAGGAGAGCTGCTGCTCACAGGACAGTTGCGCAGGTCCCCCATGCTGGCGTTACGTAGCAGCTCCCCGAACATGCCCGGGGTCGCCTTCTCCCTCGACTCCAACATCTTCACTGCCTGGTTACTGAGGAAGAGGAGGAGGAGGAGTGTTACTGTGAGTCAGGTCTTCATGATGAAGAAGCTCCAGTCTTCATTAAATATGATGGGACTCACCACAGGGAGGTGGTGGAGATGTAGTGGACCATCTGAATGAAGGGCAGAGGATCTGAGGAGGCTCCACAGCTGCTGCACACACACTGACAGAGAGGGAGGGTGAACACAGAGTGTGTGTGTGTGTGT